TGTATTAACTCATATATATGGAAGCTAGAAACACTGGCAGAGATGATCCCAGCTGTACCGCAGACAAGAGAACAAACAGCGGCGGAGGAGGGGCGAGGGGGACAGGCCCGGAGACTCACACACACACACCGCCAGGTGTGACACAGCTGGAGGGGGAAGCCGGAGTAGCCCAGGGAGCTCAGCCCTGCGCTCCGTGATGATTGGGGGGTGGGGGCGGGGAAGGGTCCAGACGGAGGGATGATGGGGGGGTGGGGGCGGAGGGATGATGGGGGGGTGGGGGCGGGGAAGGGTCCAGACGGAGGGATGATGGGGGGGTGGGGGCGGGGAAGGGTCCAGACGGAGGGATGATGGGGGGGTGGGGGCGGGGAAGGGTCCAGACGGAGGGGTGAATGTACAGTTACAGCTGATTCGCCAGGGTGTAAAGCAGGAACTAACACGAGGCTGTAAAGCGACTCCCTCCAATATAAAGTTTACTGATCTGAAACTCAAGGAGTGTAACTTTGGTCAATATACTCTCCCTTTTCTCAATTCTCGTTTTCTCAGATTTTCACGGTTGCTGTAAATTACTTAACCTTTGGAAATTAAGTTTTGGGCATAGTACTTTTTCCCTTGAACTGTCTGTGATGGCCTATTTCATGTGTCAATCTGACGGGGCCCCAGTGCCCAAGTTAACATTATTCTAGTGTGCCTGTGAGGGTGTCCCAGGTGAGAGAAGCCTTAGAATGGGCAGCCTGCGCCCTCCCATGGGGATGGGCATCACCCAGCCCCCTCGAGGGCCTCCGCATGAGAAACGTGTGTGCACATGTGTCCTGTGGGGCCGGTGCTCTGGGGAAGCCCAGCTAACATGAGAAGATGGTGCCGATCTGCTGGCAGTCTGCCGGTAACAGGAATCAGAGGTTTTCTTTAACATGGCTCCCCGGGCACACACAGCTCCAAGCCAAAGACAGTTCCCTCTCCAGGCAAACAGACAAGCGTGGGCTCCCAGAGTCCCCATCAAACCTCTGGCGCCAAACACCAGACCAGCTCCAAGGTCACAGCCACAAATGCCATGTGGGGCAGAGGGCCCAAGCTGGGTGGGTGGGCCTGGTGGGGTGTGTGTGCGTACTCATAGATACACAGGGTACTGGATCACCCTAACAGGGCACCTATCTTACACTTTTACAAACATCTTAGGTAACAAACATCCAGCTTCAGAGAACTAGGTAGGTTTTCCTTTTGCTTTTATTACAAGCATATAATATCAATTGGCAAAACACTGAATACAAGCTTCACTATCATAAAATCAAAACATTTAAGCAATATTCCAAAAAAGATTTTTAGATTAAAATCTAGCCACCAATAGTACAAAAAAATTACACACCAACACAAAGCATAAAAAATGTAAACTTCCAAACCAAACAGTCAGAAACATGTGTCTGCAGCGTCACCTCCACAACCCCCATGGCCCCGAGGCTCCACGTGGGACGCTAGGGCAGCAAGGGCTCTCGCCCCCGAACGCTACATCTTTTAGGAAAATCGGTTTTCTTGCACCTGACGAAGCTGTTGGAATAGACATTTACAAGACTGCTACACATGTGCTCAGGGACACGTAATATTTCAGGCCCCTCAGATGTGCCCTAGACGTGGAGACTCGTGAGCTGATGAGACGGCAGCTCCCCAGCAGGGGCAGAAGCTCAGCGATGACTCTGGTGTCGTCCGAATCATTTCCTAACAACTTACCCCAACCTATTTAGTTTAAACACCAAGGCAAGAAACACACTGGTTTATCACGTGAAGGTCACACGTGATGCACTGGAGTGTAAATGATTTCCTGAGGAAATAGAGAAACTGAGCTTTTTGTGATTTATCTGCACTAAATGTATTTTCAGTGTTCTGAGAGCACATTAAATATTCACGTACAAAGAAGAAATCAGTTGGCTCGTTCCTAGAATATTCAATCCAATGACACATTTCAAAATCACTGTAAAATACATCCTGTGGGCTTTGAGAAAAAAACAAATAAATTTCTAAAGACTTCTAATATCAGGAGGGGGCGTGGAGGCCGCACGCCCTGCAGGGCTCTGGAGCCCACGAAGTAGCACCATCCCAGCTGTGGTCAGTGCGGGGTGTGTCCTGGGCCGCCAACACTCGGGGCCCAAGGCATGAGGCCAGTCTTGGCCACGCGGTCCCTGACTCTCACTGATGGCAGACACCCCCACGCAGGCCCCCACACACTCCTGACAACAGCATTCTCGTGAGGACCACGATGGAGAAGAAGAATCAGAGCCGAGCGTACACGTGCGGAGGGCCCCCTGCACCCCCTTCAAGTCAGCAGAACAGACGCTGCAGACAACTCAACGTAACTCTGGTGAACGCATGCTGGAGCCTGCCGCACAGTCGCACAAACCGCGCTTCATCCACGAGAAACAACACACACAAATTAAAAACTACTCAAAGTAAAAAGAAGAAGCTTGCAAAACACCTCACAATTTTCATTTTATATGCCTGTAAATAAAGCTGGACCACTGAAAACAAACAATTGGATGGGAAAATATGATAAAAGGCTTAAAATAGAATAAATAATTTTATAAAGTTAAGTTTTCTTCTTTTTCACCCCCCAAATCTTAAATTCAATATTATATATTCTATCTGAATCTTCTATTTTTATGACGCCTGTGTCTAGTGAGACCCTGCCCTGGTGACAAGCTCGCTACTGCTTGCTGACTGACAGTGTTTATTACTTTGCCAGCATAAACAGTTGTGAAAACTACTTCACAGTAACTCCATCTGTTTAAAAAAAAAAAAGTGACAGGATCCAATCACTAGCTGATCCCAGCTTTCATGCTGGAAAAGATGGGTCTCCCTTTGATGTTAAGCAGATGTGCGAGGACAGGGCAGGCTTCCCTCTGCTGAAAGGCCCCCAGCGCCGGCCCTTAAGGCTGCGTCGGACCAGAGGTGGCAGGACCGGGCTCTCCTGCAGTGAAGACAGTCTGCACGGGACATCTTAGAAAAATAGGTACTTCTGCTACTGAGGTTTCATCAGGGCCACACGCTACACACGCAGGACCAGGGGTGGTTGGGGCCCAGGGGGACGGTGGCACCAGCTTGCCCGCCTCCACCTCTGTGTATTAAGTACATCAACTTAGCACCATGGCAAATTCAAGTGATTGCAAAGACAGCCGCAAGGTTACAGATACATACTATGAGATCACACAGTCAGGCTCCTGTTAGTCTGACCCTGAATTAATGGTATTTGAATTTTGACGCTCATACTGTTTAATCCTTCCTTACCTTGACCACACAGAATACCTAAATTCTAATCTTATACTTCAACTGCATTGAGAACACATGGTTTTACAGAACGTTTTAGCAGAAATGTGTATTTGAGGTAGACAGGTAATATTTACTCATACACATCTACTCATTAAACCCTTGAATAGGAACTCTAAAAAAACGATTTGGATGAAAAATGAGCTTAGGTAACTAATAATTCAAACAGTCCTGGGAGTAATGGGCTTAAATAAAGAGGTGAACTTTGACCAATGTCTAGGGAAAAACTTGGTTTTATGTTTCTGAAAGGCCTTATATTAAGATCACTTGGACTGAGTTAATTTGTTTACTTATCACCAAGGAGCTGCTTCTGACATTTACGCATAAGAAACAGGAAGTAAAAGAAAATAAACAGACTTGAATGTCAATGAGCCTGACCACTGCTTCCAAAGCAAGTTCAAGAAAAATGCTAGTCACCAAGGTGAAGTTCTTCACGGAAAACCCAGCTCTCAGGAGACCATCAAGACTACCTACCGAATGAGGCGGCCCCAGGACCCCAGGGCGCAGAGGTGGCGGCGGGGAAGAGCACGAAGCTCAGGCAGAAGCCACTGGACACAGACGCGCACGGGGACAGACACGCAGCCGGGACAAGCTCGCACCCAGGAAGGGCCCTCACCTCACTCCTGCCTCCAGACATTCCAAACTACGATCTTGAAAGAACAAAGATGGATGTGCTGGCAAAGAGTTTATTCTCGAATTCCACAAAAATACGAACATTTGGGAGGAGAAAGGTTAACAGAGGGTGTGCTGCCTTTGCTGGGTTTTAGGTCCTAAGAAACTGAGGACAGCAGCTTCCAACGCATAGGACCCCGCTGGCCCTGCTGTCTGCTCCGGGAGGGGGGGCTGGGCAGGGCGGACGTGCCCGCGGCTGAAGGTGGACCCGGCGGGCCCTGGGGTCTGCACGCCTGGGGCTTCAGTGGAGACACACCCCAGGGCGCCAGCCCCACCCCCGCAACCACCATCGATTCCTTCAGCAAAACGAAAAAGGGGAAGAATCAGCGTGAAGTTAACCGGCGGCACTGAGCAACTTGTGCCCTATTTAATAAAAGCGAGTTTTGAGAAGAGCTGTTCAGAGAACCAGTGCTGACTGGCCCAGTCCGCTCTGCTGAGCCTCTGCACTGGTGCTGGGGTGCGGCACCCTGCCCTGGGCTCTGGGTCCCCCGGGGGTCAGAGCCCCCCTGGCTTCACATTCCCTAACGTGGAAAATGAAACACCATGGTTAACTCACGATACTCATGGAAACCTCTTTTGGTTGCTTTTAAATTAAATTTTTATATATCTTCTAAGTCTTCAGGAAGCTAAAGGCAACATAAATATCGTCATTCACCATGAAAAGACATTTTTTTCAATAACTTAGGAAGGATTCAATAAACGTACAAGTATTTGGGGGCTATCGTGAAACCTAATTCATAAACTGAACGGAAGTGACTGAGATTTTCAAGACCTGGAAAGCAAGCAAAGGTCACGTGTTGGAATGAAGGCCGCCGCCTCACTGTCCTCACGCTGGTCCCCGTGCGTCACATCTGCAACCCTGTGCCGAGTGTCTCATCGCGTGCGGATTCTCTCTCATACAAAAGTGATAAATACTCTCTGTTCGAGGTCCGGTCCACATGGCGCCCGGGGCAGCACCCGAGTGCTGTGGGCCCGCTTGGTGCGTGCCCTCGGGCACCTGGGTGCCGTCTCCGCTGTGCTCACAGCAGGTCCATCTTGGGTCTGTAGTGCAACAGGAGGGGTGCCTTCTGCAAGACAAGGGGTGTGTGGGGGGGACGGGACCCCCCGGGGGTCAGCTGCGGAGGGAGCCCCCACCTGCTCCTGCCCCCACCTGCCCCTGTCTGGTCCCCGCTCAGACCCCGGCCCCAGCCAGCGGTCGGCCAGCCTGTCTCCCCTGCTCTCAGGCAGACCCTGGGGGGTCACGCCTGTCTGTTTCCTGCTCCAGAGAGGGACCGTGGCTTGAAGGGTGCCTTCCGATTGCAGTGGCGCCTCCCTCCCCAGGATGTCAGTCACCTTGACCAAGAGGGATGAGACAAGTGGGGGCCTGGGGATTGCACTACCCATGGCCACTCTGGGGCTGATGACTTCAGAGCGACCACACTGCTGACAGTCCATGGTGGGCTGTTACTCCTAGGCTCTGAAATAAACCACACACAATCACAGCAGTCTCACCTTGAATCTCCACCTCGTGACGACGACAAATTTGAGTGTATGGTCCTTGCCAAGGATCTCCTCGTTGCATAAAATGTCCAGCTGCCAGGAGAACAAGACCTCAGTCAGCGGGGCCGAGGGCTTGGCGCTCAGAACACGGGGCCTCTGGTCCAGGCAGTCATGCCTGTCAGCGGAGAGCCACCTGCCTTCCTTCTGGGGCAGCACCAGCGGGAAACAGCACTCAGAAGGCCCTTCCCTGCCCCACCCGAGGGTGGACAGCACTCAGGGGCCTCTGTCTACACAGGACAAGGCAGCAGCCCTGTCGTGGGATGGCAGCCTCCAGGCAACTCTCACCAAAAAGCACCCTGTGCCCCAGCATCAGTCCATCTTGGCCAGGTTTGTCCCTCTCGCTCAGTGGAAAAAGGTTATGGGCTCCACAGACAATTCTTCCCTTTTTTTTAAAAAGACTTTTTAGAGCAGTTTTAGGTTCACAGGAAAATTTAGCAGAAGATACAGAGTCCTCATATATCTCCTGGCCCCACCCCACAGCCTCCCCCAGCCATCAGCACCCCTGATGTAAACATGTTACACCTGATGAACCTCCATCAACACATCCTCACCTGCCATAGCCACGGCCTCCCCCAGGCTCAGGACCGATGCTGTGCCTTCTGGGGGCCTGGACAGACACAGAGTGACGAGTGTCCTCCAGGACAGTGTCACTCAGAGGAGGCTCACGGCCCTAGGACTCCGCGGGGGGCCTGTCCCTCTCGCCCTCCGACCCTGGCAACCGCGGCTCCTTGCGCCGTCTCCACGGGTTTTCCCAGATGTCACAGGCTCGGATCGCAGCGTGCAGGCTTTCTGGATTGGCTCCTTTCACCGTCATATGCACTGAAGGTTCCTCCACGCCTCTCATGCTGTCAGCTCTTTTCTCTTGGCTGAGAGATGTTCCACTGTCTGGATGGACCACAGTTTACTTATCCACTCACCTTCTGAAGGATGCCTTGGCTGCCAAGTTTTGGCAACTGTAACTAAGCTGCTATAAACACCTGTGTATAAGTTTTCTTGTGGACCTAAGTTTTCAACTCCTTTGGGTAAGTACCAAGGGGCTTGATTGCCGAGTTGTACATGTGTAAGAGTCGTTTTGTGAGAAACCACTGAACTGTTTTCCTAAGTGGCTGCACCATTTTGCATTTCCAAGGGCAGTGATAAGTTTCTGTTGCTCCATGTCCTTGCCAGCATGTGGTGGTGTTGGGGTCCTGGATTTTGTACATTCTGTAGGTGTGGAGTGGGATCTCATTGTTTTAATTTGCATGTACCTGATGATAAATGTTGTTGACCTAGATGATCTTCTTCTTATTATTTTTTTGGCAGTGCCATGCAGCTTGCAGGATTGTAGTTCCCTGACCAGGTACTGAACCCAGGCCACTGCAGTGAACGCACCGAGTCTTAACCACTGGGCCACCAGGAATTCCCAGATGGTCTTTTGAACTTCTCTCTCAGGCAGGGGAGGAAGGGTCCTGACGTGTGCTTCCTGCATCTGCCATGCAAACAGCACAACTGTGGGTCAGGACAGAGAACGCCAGGAGTGCAGTCCTTGGAGTTCTGTCTGGGAGCCCGAAGGCTCAGGCCCTCTGGAGGTGCCAGGGCTCCCTGGCCCGGGGCAGCGTCCTTCCAGCCCTGCTTCTGTCCTCAAGTGGCCCCAAGCTCCCTCTACTTTCTTCTCTGTACGCATCAATAGTTCGTTCTTATTTATCATTAAAATAATTGGGGTAAGATGCACGTAAAATTTACCAGCTTAGCCATTTTTAAGTGCACAGCTCAGTGGTATTAACCACCTCCATGATGTGCAGCTGCCACCATGCCCATCCACGGACTGTGTGTGTGTAAACCTGTAACTCTGCCCGCTTAGTCAATAACCGCCCGTCCCCTCCCCAGCACCGGCAACTCCTATTCTACTTTCTGTCTTTATGATTCTGATGCCTCTGGGGACCTAGTATAAGTGGAATCGGACAGTATTTGTCCTTTTGTGATTGGCTTACTAGTCTCCTCAAGATTCATCTATGTTGTACAGGTGTTAAAATTTCCTTCCTGTTTAAGGCAGAATATTCCATCGTATGGACGGACCACATTTTGCTTATCCATCACCCACTGATGGATGCTTCCACCTTTTGCCCGCTGTCAATAATGCTGCTACAAGCATGGGAGTACAAATATTTCCCCGGGATCCTGTTTTCAATTCTTTTGGGTATTACCCAGAAGTGGAATTGTTAGATCTCATGGTAGTTCTGTTTAATTTTTTGAGAAATCCTCATACTGTTTTCCAGAGTGGCTGCACCATTTTATATCCCATCAACAGTGCACAAGTGTTCCAATTTCTCCACATCCTCACCACCACTTGTTTCTTATTTTTTGCAGTAGTTATCCTATGGGATATGAGGTAGGTCTCATCACAGTTCTGGCTTGCATTTCCCCCGTGATTAGTGATGTTGATTATGTTTTCATGTGCTTATTGGCATCTGTACATTTTTGAAGAAATGTCTACTCAAGTCCTGTGCTCATTTTGTAATTGAGTTTTTTTGTGCTCTATTTTAGAGATAGTCTATCTATTCTGGATAGTAATTCCTTGTCAGATATATGATTTATAAATACTTCCTTCCATTCCATACAATTTCTTTTTTTTTTTTTCAATTCAACGAAGTCCAAATTGTCTAATTTTTCTTTTGTTATCCATTCCTTGGGTATTCTATACAAGCAATCATTGCCAAATCCATTGCCAAGTTTTTGTCCTATGTTTTAAGAGTTTTATTGTTTCAGGTTTTACATTTATGTCCCTGATACACTTTGAGTTGATTTTTGTATGCTATGTTAAGTAAGGGTCAAACTTCATTCTTTTGTACGTGGCTATCCAGTTTCCTCAGCACCATTTGTTGAAAAGACTGTCCTTTCCTCATTAGAGGGTCTTGGAACCTTGTCAGTTGACCACATATGTGAGGATTTATTCTATTCTCTATTCTGCTCCATTAGTCTGTCTGTCTCAACGCCAACACCACAGTTTTGGTTCGTGTATCTCTCTAGTACGTTGGGAAACTTTGAGTCCTCCAGTTTTGTTCTTTTTCAAGGTTGTTTTGGCTATTTGGGTTCTTTGAGAGTCCATAAAAAAATTAGGATGCATTTTTTTATTTCTGCAAGAAATATCTTTGGGATTTTGATAGGAGTTGTATTGAATCTGTAGCTCATTTGGGTAATACTGACATTTTAAACAATATTAAGTCTTCTAATCCATGAATTCGGTATACATTTCCACTTGCCTCTTTCATTTTTTCAGCACTTTCTATAATTTTCCCTGTACGAGTCGCTCACTTCCTTTGTTAACTTAATTCCTCCGTATTTCATTTTTAAGAATTGTTTTTATTGGGCTATAGTTGCTTTACAAAGGTGTCTTAGTTGCTACCGTACACATATGCCCTCTTGTCTGGATTTTCTTCCCACTTGTGTCACCACAGAGCAGTGAATAGAGCTCTCGGAGCCACACAGCACACCCTCATTACCTTCTTACTTTACACGCAGCACCCCCAGCGCACACGTCAACCGCGATCTCCCAACCAACGCCACTCCCCAGCTTTCGTCTCCTGACGTCCATGTCTGTGTCTCTATTTCTGCTTTGCATGTAACATCATCTGAACCATTTTTTTACATTACACACATATGTGTTAATATATTTGTTTTCTCTGACACTTCACTTTGTATGACAGTCTTCAAGTCTATCCACATCTCTACAAATGACCTAATTTTATTTCTTTTTATGGCTGAGTATATTATTCTTTCTGATGCTATTATAAATGTATTTAGTTTTATAATTTGCTTTTCAGCTTGTTCATTGCTCATGTATAAAAATGCATCTGATTTCTCTGCTCACTTCGCATTTTGCTACCTTGTGGTTAGTTCTGACAGGGTCTTTCTGCGAAATTTTTAGAGTTTTCTACATATTCTTCTTCCTCACTCTTCAGTTCAGTCGCTCAGCTGTGTATGACTCTTTGTGACCCCATGGACTGCAGCACGCCAGGCTTCCCTGTCCCAACTTCTGGAGCTTACTCAAACTCATGTCCATTGAGCCAGTGATGCCATCCAACCATCTCATCCTCTGTGTCCCCTTCTCCTCCTGCCTTCAATCTTTCCCAGCATCAGAGTCTTTTCAAATGAGTCAGTTCTTCACATCAGGTGGCCAAAGTATTGGAGTTTCAGCTTCAGCATTAGTCCTTCCAATGAATATTCAGGACTGATTTCCTTCTGGATGGACTGGCTGGATCTCCTTGCTGTCCAAGGGACTGTGGAGAGTCTCCTCCAAAACCACAGTTCAAAAGCATCAATTCTTCAGCACTCAGCTTTCTTTACAGTCCAAGTCTCACATCCGTACATGACCACTGGAAAAACCACAGCTTTGACTAGACGGACCTTTGTGGGCGAAGTAATGTCTCTGCTTTTTAATATGCTGTCTAGGTTGGTCATAACTTTCCTTCCAAGAAGAAAGCGTCTTTTAATTTCACGGCTGCAGTCACCATCTGCAGTGATTTTGGAGCCCAAGAAACTAAAGTCTCTCACTGTGTCCACTTTTCCCCCCATCTATTTGCCATGAAGTGATGGGACCAGATGCCATGATCTTAGTTTTCTGAATGTTGAGTTTTAAGCCAACCTTTTCACTCTCGTCTTTCACCTTCATCAAGAGGCTCTTTAGTTCTTCTTCACTTTCTGCCATAAGGGTGGTGTCATCTGTGTATCTCAGGTTACTAACCTGATTCCAGCTTGTGCTTCATTTAGCCCAGCGTTTCTCATGATATACTCTGCATATAAGTTAAATAAGCAGGGTGACAATATACAGCCTTGATGTACTTCTTTCCCAATGTGGAACCAGTCCTTTGTTCCATGCCCGGTTCTAATTGTTGCTTCTTGACCTGCATTTAGATTTCTCAGGAGGCAGGTAAAGTAGTCTGGTATTCCCATCTCTTGAAGAATTTTCCACATTTTGTTGTGATCTACACAGTCAAAGGCTTTGGTGTAGTCAACAAAGCAGAATTTTTTTTTTTTCTTCTGAAATTCTCTTGCTTTTTCGATGATCCAACAGATGTTGGCAACTTGAACTCTATCTGGTTCCTCTGCCTTTTCTAAATCCAGATTGACCATCTGAAAGTTCATGGATCATGTACTGTTGAAGCCTGGCTTGGAGAATTTTGAGCATTACTTTGCTAGCCTGTGAGATGAGTACAATTGTGCGGTAGTTTGAACATTCTTTGGCATTGCCTTTCTTTGGGATTGGAGTGAAAACTGACCTTCTCCAGTCCTGTGCCCACTGCTGAGTTTTCCAGATTTGCTGGCATATTGAGTGCTGCGTTCACAGCAAATCTTTTAGGACTTGAAATAGTTCAACTGGAATTCCATCACCTCCACTAGCTTTGCTCATAGTGGTGCTTCCTAAGGCCCACTTGACTTTGCATTCCAGGATGTCTGGCTCTAGGTGAGGGATCACACCATCGTGGTTATCTGGGTCATGAAGATCTTTTTTGTAGAGTTCTTTTGTGTATTCTTGCCACCTCCCTTTAATATCTTCTGCTTCTGTTAGGTCCATACCATTTCTGTCCTTTATTGTGCCTATCTTTGCATGATGTTCCCTTGGTATATCTAATTTTCTTGAAGAGATCTCTAGTCTTTCCCATTCTATTGTTTTCCTCTATTTCTTTGCATTGATCACTGAGAAAGGCTTTCTTATCTCTCCTTGCTATTCTTGGGAACTCTGCATTCAGATGGGTGTATCTTTTCTTTTCTTCTTTGCCTTTAGCCTCTCTTCTTTTCATAGCTATTTGTAAGGCCTCCTCAGACAGCCATTTTGCCTTTTTGCATTCCTTTTTTTGGGGATGATCTCAATCACTGACTCCTGTACAATGTCACAAACCTCCATCCATAGTTCTTCAGGCACTCTATCAAATCTAATCCCTTGAAACCCACTTAGGTATGGTGTGTAAATCCTTTTAATATGTTGAATTCTGTTTATTACTATTTTGTTGAGGATTTTTTGCATCAATGTTAACGAGGGATATTGTGCAGTTTTCTTGTAGTGTCTTTATCTGGCTTTCTCAGGGTTATGCTGATCTCATGAAATGAGTTAGAAAGTGGTTCTCCTCTTCAGTCTTTTAGAAAAGTTTGAGAAGGATTGATACTAGTTTTTTAAAGGCTTTGTAGAATTCAGGGAAGCCATCAGGTCCAGGACTTTTTTTTGTTGCAAGATTTTCTGATTGGTGATTCAATCTCCTTTACCAGTTACAGGTTTATTCAAATCTCCTATTTCTTTTTGACTGTCGTGGTAGGCCTTGTGTTTCTAGGTATTTGTCCATTTCATCTAGGTCATCCAATCTGCTGGCATACAACTGCTCAGAGTGCTCTCTGAAAATCTATATCTGAAGAAACAGAAGTGATGTCCCTACTTCCACATCAGATTATATAACTTAAGTCCTCTTTCTTAGCCCCTCTAGCTCAAAGTCTGTCAATACTGTTGATCTTTTTGAAAAACTGTTGATCTTCTCTATTGTTTTTCTATTCTCTATTTTGTTTACTTCTGCTCTAATCCGTATTATTCTTTTCTTCCTGCTAGCTTTGGGTTTAGCTTAGTCTTTTTCTAGATCCTTAAGTTGCAAACTGAGTTTGCTGATTTGAGATCTTCCTTGTTTTGAGATCTTTCCTCGTTTACAGCTATAAACCTCCCCCTTAGTACTGTTTTCACTGCATCATTAGTTTTGATATGTTGGATTTTTTTTTTATTTGTCTCTAACTATTTTCTAATCACTCTTTGATTTCTCCTTTGATCCACTGGTTGCTTAATTTCCACAATTTTGTGAATTTTCCAGTTTTCTTTTGGTTATTTATTTCTAACCTCATGCAGCTGTGGTATGAGAAGATACTTTGTATAACATCCTTGAAAATCTACTGAGACAATTTGTGTCTGCTCTTCTAAGGACACCAGTCCCTGGATTTACAGCCCATCACGATAATCCAGGAGGTCTCTTCACTCCAACATTCTTTGCACGTCTACAAAAACCTTTTTTCAAATAAAGATGTATTCAGATGTTCTCAGGATTAAAAAGTGAACGTATATTTTTTGCAGGGTCACCACTTAACCTACAACAGTTCTGCCTTCTGACCCCATAAAACCCACATCCACCCCGCATGCATTTTTTTAGCTCAAAGAGACTCAAGCCACTCTAGCATCAACTCCAGAACCCCAAATCTCAACTTCACATCATCAGTTCAAAGTCTCAGAGCTTATTTTCTAAATCACAGGAATCAGCTATGGGTGAGACTCTGAGTATGATGCATCCCGAGGAAAAACTCCTCTCCAACTGCAGATCTGTTTTGGGGGGTGGGGGTGGGGGTGGGCAAGAATGCCACTCCCTTCTCCAGGGATCGAACCCATGTCTCCCGCACTGTAGGTAGAACGCTTTACCACCCGAGCTACCAGGGAAGCCTCCAACTGCGGATCTGTGAAACTAGAAAACACATTATTTGCTTCCAAAATCCAAGTGTGGGACAGGATAGGTATTCTTAGTCCAAAAGGGAGCTATATTAGGAGGCATAAAAACATCACTGGTCTCCATAACATTTGAAATCCAGTATGGAAGTTCCATTTGATCTCAAGATCTGAGAACACATCACTGAGGGTCAAGGTTCTGCTCTCTTGGGCCCGTGTTGGCCTCACCCTCTGGGGTGGCTCACCTTGGTAGCTGAGCATCTCTTACCAGCCTATTTCCTGCTGGTAGAATTTTGGAAGTCTGATAGCCTTCTCTCATTTCTTCCTGTCTCTGTCCCCTTCAGAAAGCTGGTGGTGGTTCTGCCACATTCTTAAAAACACTGTGGGTCTCCGAGGTATGTCCCAGATCCAGGCCACTGACATGAAAATCCTCTGTGGATCTCTCTCGGATAACTCCTCTCTACTCCTCCCATGAGACAGCTGAGCCACCATGAGTCAAACAACGAAACCCTTTAGCAAAAGGTTGAACAGCTACACACTTGGCCTTCTCTCTAGAGTGTTTTTCTAACAGTCAAATTCCTAATATTACCATCTTTTTACAATCTGGATAGGCTGTAGGTTCCTTTTTGTTTGGCAATTCATTCTTGAATTCATCCCTCTCCTCTAACATTTTATTATAGAAGAAACCAGACCAGCTTCTGGGGGCTCCAGGCATCCCTTGGCTTGTGGTCATATCCCCCCAATCTTGTCTCCATCTTCACAGCGTGTTCTCCTCTGTGTGTGTCTCATAGTTCCCTCTGCCTCACATTTCTACGGGCACATGTCATTGGATTTAGGGTCAATGCAGGATTATTTCAGCTAAAGACTCTTAGCTTCATCACATCTGGAAAGATCTTTTCTCCAAAAAGGTCATGATTACAGGTTGTGGGGTTGGGGTGTGGGCACAGCTCCGTGGGGGGCTATGTCCAGCCCACTCTTCTCTGACATACATCTCAGAAGCTGGCTTCCTCTGTCCTCACTGGCACACCCTCCTGGGGCTTCTGCCAGACTCCCCCCAACTGGCCTCTCCTGCTTCCTTTTCCAAACCCCAACACCACTTTCCTCGCAGCCTGAGGGCTGTTTTCATCATGAGTCCCTGGCTTTACATCCCCCAGGGCCTTCTCCTGACGTTTCTGCACGGCCAGCTCCTGCAGACCAGCCACGTGTGGGCAGAAGCGAATGCCCTCAGGAGGGCGTCCGAGACCCCTAGCGAGTGTGCTCGCTCTCCCTCTGGGACCGCTCTGCTCTGCACAGGTTTTATTTTAGTCTCAGCATTCATCAGAACTTGGAAGTATCTTCTCTGTCTACCCATTCTATCCATCCCCATCCACCTATTTGTGAAATTAAAGACCAGAATCTCTCCTGCGGTGAAAATCTGTAACGTATCTCACTGCCATCCCATTGGCATCACCTCTTCTCTTAGCATTGGCCTCCATGTTCATGGGTTCTGGGCCTCCACTGCCTTCATCACTATTTACTATCACACTAACTGGGAGTACTCAACACACGACTTTTTTTTCTGATTGAAAATCTCCAAACAAAATTGTAAAAAGCAAACAAATCCAAAGAACTTCAGAAGTATCACTTCTACAAATAAGAAGTGACTCATTACAGTTTCTGTTTACCTCGTTGAAAGACGAGAGGTTAAGTTTTTTGGCAATGAACTTCTTCAGATGCAGGACTGTGGCCTGGGCTGAGCAGCGGATCCATTTTCGCTTCAAGCCCCGCAGTTTGCTGCTGTTGCATTCCAGACAGATGCTTACCTGCGAGAGAAAGGGCTCAGCTGGGGAGGTGCACCGAAGCTCGCCACGGGGCTGCTCCCCGGAGGCTTTCCTAGCCATCTACCGATCCTGTTAAACCTAAAACTGCAGACGTTTTAGAAATCATAAATCTGTTTTGACCTAAACGCATTACCTTAAAATCTGTTTATTTTTACCATTTTGTGAAAAACAATCTAGCATTATTAATTCTGTTTTATTAATACAGTTCTTTAAAGTAAACCCGAGAATTATTTATTTATTGTGGCAGTACATGCTAGCCTCAGAGTTAAACCGACAAAGGTGGAAATCCTGTTGTAAAAGCTTCTAGCCGGCAGGACATACACACGTCGCCACAGAGGCAAAGTGTTCCACAGGAATGACGAGAAAAGACATCACATAGCAGCCACCACGACCCCCACACCCAGGAAGGGCCACCAAGGGGCACATCACGCTCGACCAGCTCACTAGAGGGCAGAGGACTCAGCAAAGACATCACACGTGGCGGCACCATGGACCCCTCATCCAGAGAGGGTCACCAGGAGGCAGCACGCGTGGCCAGCTCACTAGAGGGCAGAGGACTCTGAGCAAAAGCACCAAGTCTCAAGTTTACGGTTAGGGTCAGAGTACTCAGCGTGTGACAAGGAACTTCAAGACGACAAACTAAGTCAAGTGACTCCAGATGGCAGACGCAGCGGAGGGACAGCCTGGCCGCGCTGCACTGCTGAGCCTGCCCCACCTGAGACGCCTCGCCTCACTCAGGGCAAGCCTTCCTCCAGGAATGGGTAGGGCGTGCCAAAAACCAGACCCCAAACTCAAACAACAGAATCATTAACAACTGAAATACATGTCTAAAATTACCAGATATGAAAGAAGGAACTGAAAGTATAATTATGAATATAACTATGAATAAAGAACAGGCAGGTATCTTTTGAATAAAAGATATTCAAATATAACTTCTAAAAATAAAAAACATTCATTCAAATTAAAAACTCAATGGCTGGTCAAACCACAGATTAGTCTCAACTGAACGCAGATCAATTTTCTGAAAGAGCAATGTGAGCAAATTACCCAAAAGAAGTATAGACACAGAGGTATGGATTAAAATAAGAAAACAAAGGAAAGGTAAGACACATGAAGACAGACCAGAATCTGAAAATCACAAGAGGCCAGAGGAAAAAGAGAAAATAAAGGCAAAAGGATGCCCCCAAATGATGCAAGACATTAAGTCCTCAACTCCAGGAAGCAAAAGAATCTGAAACAAAGGAAATCAGAGGAAATCTGCACCCAGACATTAAGGACCCCTCCGAGCACCAGGGACTGAGGCCCAGGGGGCCGGGTGGGTCTGCACGAGGGGCTGGTGCTCAGGAGCTGAGCCCAGTCACGGGGCTTCCCACTGTGCCGCCAGAAAGGAAGAACCAAACTATCATTCAGAGAGGAAGTGGAATGATGTCACCAGCAAACGAAGACAGAACACAAGTACGAGAAACGAGAAGTGGCAACTCAGGAAGAAAGAGCCCAAAGCAGACGGACTAGCTGGGGTTAAGGAGGCGCCCAGGCAGCGGGAGAGCCCTGCTGCTGTTTAGGGGAGACAAGAGGAAGAAGCGACAGGTCCCCCAACAACATGAGCAGGAGGCCGTGGGCTGGGCCGTCAGGGAGGAGGGGGCACAGAGCTGCAGAGCGCTCTGGAAAGCCCAGTCTGTGCAAGCAGGCAGTGACCACAAAGCGCGCCCTACGAAGGGGAACTCGGGACAGCGACACACACCCCTCTCGCCGCACACTGCCCTCGGGACCGTGTAAGTGCATCGCCTATCTGTGTTTCTGACCACACTGTACCACATGCAGGACCTTATTTCCCAGACCAGGGATTGAACCTGGGGCCCCTGCAGGGGAGTCTCAGCCACTGAAGCATCAGGAAGTACTCAAATGTATTACCTATTTAAAAACACTAAGTTAAAAGCATGTTTGTAATTTTTTAACAGCTTTGTTGCAGTACAATTTACATATATGTTTTAAGTATACAATTCAGTAAGTTTTAGTCAACTTAAAGTTGTGCAACCACCACGCCACCCAGTCTGAGGTCAGACCCATCACCCTCATAAAGACCCTCGTGGTTTTGGTGGTCAATCCGCCCCACCCGGGCAGCCACCCTTGGCCTGCGTCTGTGGACCAGCCTCTCCTGGACAGTCTACAGATGGGATCATACAACGGAGTCTTCCCATCTGACTTCTTTCACACAGTCAAGTGCGGAGACTCAAGTGCACAGCGGCACCTTGCACTTCTCCACCTCCCTGCCAATACCTGTCACCATCTTTTTGATTACAGCCATCTTGGTGAGTGTAAAATGCTATTTCATTATGGTTTTAATTTGCATTTTCCTAATGACTGATGATGTTGAACACATTTTTCATGTGACTATTAGTGAAAGTTGCTCAGTCAAATCTGACTCTTTGAGACCCCATGGTCTGTAGCCTGCCAGGCTCCTCTTTCCATGGAATCATCCAGGCCTGAATACTGGAGTGGGTAGCCCTTCCCTTCTCCAGGGTATCTTTCTAGGTCTCCTGCATTGCAGGTAGATTCTTTACCAGCTGAGCTACCAGGGAATGTGACTATTAAACATTTGTAATTCCTCTTTGATAAAATGTCTGCTGATTTGTTAACTGGATTGTTCATCTTCTTATTGAGTTAAGAGTTACATATCCTAGATAAGAGTCCTTTTCAGAAATGTCATTTGCTAATATTTTCTCCCAGTCTGTGGTCTTTTATATTTTTCCCAGTAGTGTCTTTTGAAGAGTAGCAACTCCTTTTGGCTGCGCCGTGTGGCTTGAGGAATCTCAGCTCTCTGACCAGCAGCTGAGCCGTGCCTTGAAGGGGAAGCACAAAATCTCAGCCACTGGACCGCCAGGGAGTCCCAAGAGCAGTATTTCTTCATTTGATGAATTTTCTTTCATCAGTTTTCTTTCCTGAGTTGTGTTCTTGGTTTTGGATCTGAGAACTACAAGCCTAACCCAAGATGCTAATGAGTTTCTCCCATGTTTTCCTGAAAAGTTTCCAGGTTTGAGCCCTTACATTTTGAGTTAACTTGGGCTTCCCTGATAGCTCAGTTGGTAAAGAATCCACATGCAATGCAGGAGACCTGGGTTCGATCCCTGGGTTGGGAAGATCCCGTGAAGAAGGAAAAGGCTACCCACTCCAGTATTCTGGCCTGGAGAATTCCACAGACTGTATAGTCCATGAGCTCGCAAAGAGTTGGGCGCAACTGAGCGACTTTCACTTTCACTTTCCATGTGGTGAGAGGCAAGGGCATGTGTGAATCTTCTGCACGTGGGTGTCCAGCTGTCCAAGCACCATCCAAGACACTGTTCTTTCCTCAGGAAGGGCCATGGCACCTGTGCTGGAATCAAATGGCCTTGGCTCTAAGGGCTCATTCCCACACTCCTCAATGATTAAAAATCTACCTTATCAACTGCAACACAATGTCTGGGTTACTGCAGCCTTGTTTGTAAGATCTGATGTTCAAAATTTCCAATGCATGTATTAAAGAACGTTCAACTCAAGAAAGTAGAGAAGGAACAAAAGGGAACACAGAGCAGAAAGAAGGAATGATTAACAGAAAAGAATGTGGCTCCATCTCTGGCAAGAATGACCAAAAAAGCAGGGGACACCAGTGGGATACTAGGAAGAGCAATAGAGAAATAACCAGACACTTGGCAAAGCCCAAAGACAGACAAAAGAATTCTGTGAAAACCTAAGTCCAAGTAGAAACTTTCCTAGAAAAAATATAACTTACCAAATAATCTAAAAAAGAAACAAAAGATTCGAGAAGGATTAAAATCATTAAGGAAATTTAATGCATAGTTTAAAATCTTCCTACCCATCTTCAAAAAAATTAACTAAGATCTGATGGCTTCATGGGAAGTTTAAACAAAATATTCAATAAAACGGATGTTCTCAATCTTATACAAACTTTCCTAGAGAATGAAAATGGGAGAGAGAGACTATCTCCAGCTCTGAGACTTCTCCCCTTGATACCAAAGCTAAACAGATACATACAGTTCCTGTGAAATGATTACATCAGAACATGCAACACACACCCATGAACACAGCAAGAATCCGTGCGAAGGAAGCAAGGGCCGCCCCAGGAGCTAGAGACGGATGGGCAACCAAATAGATCACTGACCCTGGAGTCTGGCACAAACAGTGTGTGGAAATGTGCCAGGAAGACCAAGGCCAGCACCCAGGAGTCTGTGAGGGCTGGAATAGTCAGAACGCCAGACAGAAACCAGTGGGATCCTTGTTCCGAGGCCTGAGCCATGCATGTGCCCAGGACACACCGCAGGGCCCACCGTGGCACCATGTCACATGGCAACCGTGCGAAGTGGCTGCGTGACACACCTCACAAACACGCTCAGAAGTCTATTTTAACTGAGAAAAGGCGCCCGTTCTGCAGCGTCTACGGTCTGTGGCCACATCATAAGCGTGAAGACTCAGGACCCAGGTCGGCAGAGCCCAGCAGGCCCCCCCGGTTTCTGGGTGCGTCCCAGGCCACGCTCCGGGCACCTGCACCACCACGTGCCCAAGGCCCTGCCGCCCAGTCCCCGCCCACCCTTGGCTCCAGCCTGGCCGCCCTACCCCCAGCCTTCCCTCCCTGCAGGCCCTGTCCCGCCCCCGCTCCGCACACCTGGGGGCCCCAGCAGGCCCCTGTCTCGGGCCACGGCTACCCCGCTCTACCTTCCTTGGGGCCAACAACAGAACAGCGCGAGGCGCAGACTGGCGTGGACGTGTGGCCTCAAAGGGGCGCAGTGGGGCCTGTGGCCCCGCCCCCGGGACAGCCTGCTGGCTCCTCTGAGAGCAGCCAATCACACAGACACCTCTTCGGGACGTTTGTGATGAAAAAGGCAAAATTTAGTAACAGTAAAGATAAACGCTGGAGGTTTAAAACTGACAGAACAGGGGTTAACAAGACGGCCCACCCTGCGCCTGAAGAGGCCGGGCCAGCAGCCTGACCCAGACCCCAGCGAGACCTCCAAGCCCAACAGGACATAGAAAGGCGGAGACATGGGCCCCGGGAGGTGTCCTGCACCCCAGTGTTTGCTCTTCTCTCTGCTCACTGAGACACATCGGAGCACCCTCCTAGAAAGGCGGAGACATGGGCCCCGGGAGGTGTCCTGCACCCCAGTGTTTGTTCTTCTCTCTGCTCACTGAGACACATCAGGGCACCCTCCCACACTTCAGAGGTGTTTCTCTTCCTGCGGCACCCGGGGAAAGCTTTCAACAACACAGAAGCATATAAACTGGAACATTAAGTTCCACTATTCTATCCTTACATCCACACTATGCTAATCATGTCTGTAATAAATGTCAGTGTGCATATATACACATATATTTTACTTCTTAAATATATATATGTATGTGTGTTTAGTTGCTCAGTAGTGTCCGACTCTTTTGCAACCCTATAGAGTGCAGCCCGCCAGGCTCCTTTGTCCATGGGATTTCCCAGGCAAGAAAACTGGAGTGGGTTGCCACTTCCTTCTCCAGGGGATCTTCCCAAGCCAGGGATCAAACCCAGGTCTCGTGCATCTCCTGCATTGCAGACAGGTTCTTTACCACTGAGCTGCCATATGTCAGAATATATATATAGGCAGACTTTGCTTTATTGCACTTCACAGATACTGTGTTTTTTATGAATGGAATGTTTGTGGTAGATGATGGCTAGCATTGTTTGGCAATAAAGTATCTTTTAATTAAGGAATGTATCTTTTTTTCTTTCCCCTCTGAGGGCTTCCCTGGTGGCTCAGTGGTAAAGAATCTGCCTGCAATGCAGGAGATGCATGAGATATGGGTTCGATCCCTGGGTTGGGAAGATCCCCTGGAGAAGGAAACGGCAACTCACTGCAGTATTCTTGCCTGGGAGATCCTATGGACAGAGGAGCCTGGAGGGTTACAGTTCATGGGGTTGCAAAAGACTCGGGCACAACTTAGCGACTAAATAATGTTGTTTTTTAGATATAACAAAACCTTACACTTGATAGACCACAATACAGTGGACGCATAGCTTTTATATGCACTGGGAAATAAAAAAAATTCATGATTTATTACAATGGTCTGGAACTGAATCTCAGTGTCTCCTAAGGGGCCTATATGTATAAATGTGTGTGCATGGATATGTTACACATATATTCTGCTACAGCCAAGACCCTAAGTTCTCATGGCTATTGCCGACTTCCTCCTCTTTCAGATGAGCTTCAGAAGCAGCTGGTTACATTCCTATTTATAAAATTGATTACAGTCACAACCACTGAGATTAATTTCAGGAGAACTCGAATCGTAAGATCAACCTTCCATCCAGGAACACCCAATTATGCAATTTTCTCTGTGTTCTTCCAGAAGGTTCTGGTATCTTTGTTTTGGTCTCTCACATTTATTGCTAGGCTGCCTTAAAGTTCTTATTAATTTTCTGAACAAAGCCACCCACCCTCTGACTCTGACACACTGGTCCTACCACTGGAAAAGGGGTCTCAGCACCTTGAGGAGCTGAGTCACATGCGTGTGCCCAAGAATCATAGCACGCCAAGCTCGTGTTCCTGTCTCCCAATTGTTGGGTCCAGGGCCTCCCAAATCATGCTGAGTGACAGCCAAGGGCGGACATTTTCTTAATTCTGACGCTGATGAGACAACTGTTCCATCAGGGAGTGTGAGGACCACTGGAGCCTCCAAGTCAAGGCGCGCTAAGAGAAGCCCGCAGACAGGGAGGTGCCAGACGGGGAGGTGTGACACCGCCATGTTCTCAGCAGCATCGCCCAGTGAGGGCCCAGCAGAGGGCCCAGTGATTCTCCCCTGATCCCTGACAGTGAGTGCCACCAAGAGCGGGCTTGGTCCTGGTTTTCACTGCAGTTTGCACAGAAGACACCGTCCCCCGACTCCCCGCTGAAGGCACCCACTTTAACCTTTCCGTTCCTAAAGTACTCTGCAGTGGGTAGGGGGTCACTCGGGCAATTAGCCACATAAGGGGAGCTCCCGGCTGCCCAGCGGTTGCCAGGTGGTGCTCTCACTGCTGAGGGCCTAGGTTCAGCCCCTGGAAACTAAGATCCCACAAGCTGTGCAGCCAAAAGGAGGAGGAGGAGAAAGGGGAGGAGAGGAGGGGTCAGGAGAGACTCAGAGAGCCGCCGGTGGGTGCACGACTGTCTCTGCTGTGCCCTCCTCCCGGTCCGTCTCTGTGAGGGGAGAGCCCCCTGAGGCCAGGCCGCGCGCCCACCTGCTCCCTTCCTCCTGGCCCTTCCTGTCAGGGGAGACCCCCCCGAGGCTGGGCCGTGTGCCCACCTGCTCCCTTCCTCCCGGCCCTTCCTGTCAGGGGACAGCCCGCTGGCTCCTCTCCTCCCGGCCCTTCCAGTTAAGGGAGACCCCCCTGAGGCCGGGCTGCACGCCCACCTGCTCCCTTTCTCCCGGCCCTTCCTGTCAGGGGAGACACCCCCGAGGCCGGGCTGCACGCCCACCTGCTCCCTTCCTCCCGGCCCTTCCTGTCAGGGGAGACCCCCCCGAGGCCGGGCTGCACGCCCACCTGCTCCCTTTCTCCCGGCCCTTCCTGTCAGGGGAGACCCCTCCGAGGCCGGGCTGCACGCCCACCTGCTCCCTTTCTCCCGGCCCTTCCTGTCAGGGGAGACACCCCCGAGGCCGGGCTGCACGCCCACCTGCTCCCTTCCTCCCGGCCCTTCCTGTCAGGGGAGACCCCCCCGAGGCCGGGCTGCACGCCCACCTGCTCCCTTTCTCCCGGCCCTTCCTGTCAGGGGAGACCCCTCCGAGGCCGGGCTGCACGCCCACCTGCTCCCTTTCTCCCGGCCCTTCCTGTCAGGGGAGACCCCCCCGAGGCCGGGCTGCACGCCCACCTGCTCCCTTCCTCCCGGCCCTTCCTGTCAGGGGAGACCCCCCGAGGCCGGGCTGCACGCCCACCTGCTCCCTTCCTCCCGGCCCTTCCTGTCAGGGGAGACCCCCCCGAGGCTGGGCCGTGTGCCCACCTGCTCCCTTCCTCCCGGCCCTTCCTCTCAGGGGAGACCCCCCGAGGCCAGGCCGCGCGCCCACCTGCTCCCTTCCTCCCGGCCCTTCCTGTCAGGGGACAGCCCGCTGGCTCCTCTCCTCCCGGCCCTTCCAGTTAAGGGAGACCCCCCTGAGGCCGGGCTGCACGCCCACCTGCTCCCTTCCTCCCGGCCCTTCCTGTCAGGGGAGACCCCCCAAGGCCGCGCCACGCGCCCACCTGCTCATCGCTCCGGTGGTAATCACCGTCTTCCTCCTGTTTCTCCTCCGCTGCCTCTTTGTTCGAACTGTCGTCCGCTTTGGTTTCTCCTTTTAGCAAAAACAAAAGACTGCATCATGATATCCAAAGTGTTAAACCGTTATTTTTCCCCCACAGAACACTCAAACGCTATGAAATCCCACGGTGACAGGAGTTCACAAGCCTAAGAATCGCAGGAGTGCTGGTTGACAGGGCCTCAGTCTCGAGGCTGCGGTCGGGGCGGGTGCGTCTGGGGGTCCTGGGCAGGCTGCCGTCCGCCGTGCACAACCAGGTGTCACGCCTCAACTCCGCCCAACAGCACAGCTCCCAGAGCTCGCGCTGGTCCCATACGGCTTTAAAAGCGGGCCTCCAGCTCGGGAAAGATGGGATTCCTGGCTCCCAGGCCCCGAGCCTGCAGGTATGCAGCCCCTGCTCCTCTGGGCTGGCAGCCAAGGCCTCCCCTTCCCAGATGCTCAAGAGATGCACAGAACAGACCAGAGTGCTTAGGAACCTGTGTGGCCCATGGAGTCAAAGGTTTGAATAAACTGTTACAATACGTACAGATTCAAAGCACCACTAATTTTCCATCAAAGCCAAAGAGAAGTTGGTCTTTCCGCAAGAAAACAGGCAAATTGGGAGAAGAGCCCTGGGAGGGCCATCGTGCACACGTGATCCCTGCACACCCCACCTCCAGGCAGCTCTGGGGCCCCTACAGGTACCCCCCACGTGCCTCCACATAAGCCCTGGGACTTGGACCCGGCTCCTCAGCGCCCCCCGGTCCTGTCAGCTTCACAGGGACGCTGACGCCCACCACGCCCGCTGGAAACCTGCAGGGGCTCGTGCAGGTGAAACGCAGTCACTCACCATTTCGGTGGGGGTCCAGGTGCTGCTTTGCAGAACACGTCTCCCCCTTGATGTCTCCAGGCACTTCCAGGCCTAACTTGTGGTAGAATTCCCTCTGCTTTCTCATTTCCGCTATGAAAAATTAACATGTAATCCTTTATCTTAGGCAGGTGATGGATTATATTAAAATTCTGCACACAAATATTATCACATGAGAAAAAGGGTAGGTCTGGATGAAAAGGTCTGAAGGCTGCTACCCATGAGAAATGACCAACTTTGGACCGTGCCCCCTGGAATCTCAGAGCAGCTGCCGGCTGTGTGATTGGGCCAGGTACCAGGGTGCGGCCTGGGCCCCACTGAGTGTAGGTGCCACTGGCTCCCCCAGGACAGGCCTCCAGGTGCGCCTGGCAGAAGAAGGGTGCTCGTGGTGTCCACGGCTGGCAACCGCGGCTCGTCAGTCCTGGGGGACTGGAGCCGCCCACACAGGGGAGGGGTCTCTACTGGTTGGAGGGGATGGAGTTGGGCAGCAAGCAGCCTCCAGCCCGGCCATTGGGCTCAGACACGAGTGGGGCCAGGCCGGGAGGCAAGAGGACAGCTGTCCAGGCTGGGTCCTCGCATGCCCTGGGAAGGGCCGACTCTGTGATACAGGCGGCTACTGAGGAGTGGCTCACGCCCAGGCAACAAAGCGGTGGCCACCGCTCAGGGCCACGTGGCAGGGCGCAAAGGAAACCTAACCCAGACCAGAAACTGTAAGGCGCACTGTGGGAAAGACCTATGCACAGGTGACCCACTACACAGCGCCCTCCCTACATACCACGAGCTCCGTGAGGGCCAGGAAATGCCATGGTCACATCCTAGACTGAGGCAGATGCTGCAAAATACCCGACTGTGCAGGAAAAAACGAACGGGTGAGGCAGCGGGCTAAGAAGGAAGGAGGGAGGCCTCTTAGAACTGACTGACGCGTGAGTCCAGCGAAGAGCTGGGGGGCACTGGAACCAAACGCAAAACCCAATTTGCGCCATGTTTTGCTAATACTCACAGTATTTCAAACTTTTTCATTGTTATTATATTTCTTATGGTATCTGTGATCAGGGAACTTTGATGTTATTATTTTAATTTTTTTTTTCATTCTGTGTTTTTAACTAAGAGATATACACTACTTTTTAGCCATAATGCTATTATACACTCAGTAGCCCACAGTATAATGTGAACATAACTTTTATAGCCACTGGGAAACCAGAAGATTGATGTGATTCACCCTGTTGCGACACTTGCTTTATCACAACGGTCTGAAGCTGAACCTGCAGTATTTCTGAGGTCTGCCTGTACCTAGTTTTAATTCCTATTTCTTTAATTTTTACCTATCAAAATGAAAAAGAATTGAAAATAACAATACTCGATGTCAGATACACACAGGTATGGAAATGTCAATTGGGATAACTTTTCAGGAAGGTTGTCGTTCAGTAGCTAACCTGTGTCCAACTGTTTATGACCCCATGGACTGCAGCATGCCAGGCTTCCCTGTCCTTCACTACCTTCTGGAGCTTGCTCAAACTCATGTCTACTGAGTCAGTGATGCCATCCAACCATCTCATCCTCTGTCGCCACCTTCTCCTCCTGCCCTCAATATTTCCCAGCATCAAGGTGACTTATAAAAACTGCTACTAGTGTATCCCAAGGAAATAATCAGGTAAGTACCTAAGGAGATAAAGCCTTATTTCCAACACTGAAGTATCAGAAACAACCTGCATGCTTAGCACCAGGCAATAGGAGCAAGCCAATCAGAAGCGTGCCTCCCTGCCAGCCTCATCCTGTCCTGCAGACATGTCCAGACAGGACTGCAGAGCCTCACAACTCCACTCAACAGCACACATGAGACACCACCACCAACTCCCAACCGCGGGTGCACAAGAGAAATCTAACCTAACTGCTGTGCTGGGACACACAGTGGTGACAGACACTGGTGACACATGCCGGGACATGCAGGGACACAAGCTGGTGACATGCAGGGATACACACTGGTGATACACGTTGGGACAGACTCAGGGACACACGCTGGGACACATGCTGGTGACACGCAGGGACACAAGCTGGTGACACAGGCAGGGACACATGCTGGTGACACGCAGGGACACACGCTGGTGACACACGTTGGGACAGATTCAGGGACACACACTGGGACACATGCTGGTGACACGCAGAAACACACGCTGGTGACATGCTGGGACACGCTGGTGACACGCTGGGACACACGCTGGTGACACACGTTGGGACAGACTCAGGGACACACGCTGGTGACACGCAGGAACACATGCTGGTGACACACGTTGGGAGAGACTCAGGGACACATGCTGGGACACACGCTGGTGACACGCAGGGACACAAGCTGGTGACACACGCTGGTGATAGGCAGGGACACGCTGCTGACATGCTGGGACAGACTCGGACACAAGCTGGGACACACGTTGGGACATACTCAGACACACGCAGGGACACATGCTGGTGACACGCAGGGACACACACAGTGACATGCGCTGGTGACACACTGGGACACATGCGGACACGCAGGGACACATGCTGGGTCACCGGGACTCATGAGCTGCGGCTCTGCGGGACCATACCCGTGAAGTCCTGTGGACTGGCCCACCTGGGAGGGGCCAGAATCGCACGGGGCCTCTCCATCTCACCCACACACGGGAACATGGGGACCGAGAGCCTGGGATTAGCCAAACTGTAAGAGACACGACGGCCCCACCCATGAGCCCCTGATGCTAACACGGAGTTGGCACCATGCTCTCGGTTTACAGAGGTGCTGAACTCCCTGTTTCAAGAAGAAGCCTCTTTGAGGAAACAAATGTCAACATCTCTGGATGAAACAGGGACTGGGACCAAGCTGACAGCTCTGGACCCTAGGCCATAAGCACACCGGGTGCTTTATGAAATCTTAGCATGTTTAAGACACCCTAGAATAATTTTTAACACTATCAGTATTTTATTTTCATGTATTCTTTGCCTTTCCCCAGCACTAGAAAAGAAAGTGTCAGTTGCTCAGTCATGTCCGACTTTTTCTGATTTCATGGACTGCAGCCGCCAGGCTCCTCTGTCCATGGGCTTCTCCAGGCAAGAATACTGGAGTGGGTGGTCATTCCCTTCTCCAGGGGGTCTTCCTGATCCAGGGATCAGAACCGGATCTCCCGCACTGCAGGCAGATTCCTTACCATCTGCGCCACCTCGGAAGTAGAAAACCCTTCTTCAACCATCGAAAGTGACAGTTTCTACATATATTTACTCAGAAAACTTAAATTCTTCTTTCTTGAATGAATTCTGTGAACAGTGAAAGAAGACTTTAACAGTATTACTCCCTAAGTTGTGTCTTAAAAGTTACATGTGACATCTACTGAGCTAATGGAGTAAGCCTGTTCTTTAAATCATAACCTTCTGAAACACAATGGTGAGAGAACACTCCCAAATGAACTGCTGCCTTTTATCTTGGAAAGAAAGCTGCACCTAGGTTTCATCAGCTGGCACCACCCAACCAGCCAGCACCCACTCTGGATGGGTCACCTGTCACCAAGGACAAGACGGTCTCAGGGCTCAGAACTGCAGAGAGAACGGCCATTCCCACTCTCCACTCTGAATGGATCACCCATCACCAAGGACAAGACGGTCTCAGGGCTCAGGACTGCGGATAGAACGGCCATTCCCACTCTCAGGATACTTGTACCACATAGTATTTCTGCTGAAGTCTCTTAAGATCGACTTAAAGCTTGTATTTAAAGTTTAAATTTGGTTAAACTTGGCCGACACAGGGTTCCTGGCTCCACCTCCAGGCAGCATGAGCAGGAGACCCCCCTGCTCTGCCCCCGGGGCCTGGCCAGGGCTGCACACGTGCCGGGCACTGAGGACCCCAGAACACAGAGAGACATGTGAGCGAAGGCGGACGAGACCAGCGCGCAGACGGTAGGGAGCCCAGGGCAGGGCCAAGCGAGACGTCCAAAGCCAGGACCCCTGAACGAAAAGTCCCTTGGAGGCCCTGCTGAGGACACAGGGGTCCAGGGGGAGGTTCTGACACTTACCCTCTTGGAGGCCTGGGACCAATTTGTAAACAATATCCTGCATGGTTCTGTCATGACTGGCAAAAGAACAGAACAGGTGGGTTAGCCAAAAATGTCAATCCTCTAATTCTCAAACCTTTTCCATGTAATAATAACAAACTCCACAATCACAAACTGGAATTTCAGTTGAATTTTGCTTCTAGTTTGTACTTATAAAAACGCCTGGGCCAGCAAGAGTGACACAGGACCTGAGTTGACACGTCAGAGTGTGGACTCCAGATGCTGGTGAACACTCAGAGAAGGACACAGGCAAGACCCCTTAGCGACCAGTGCCCCCCACCAGCTGGGCTTCTCAAGTCCTGCAGGTGTCAGGCAGTCTCGGGCTGTGCCAGACCAGAGGGGGTTTCTCAAACGTCCCTGACCAGGATCTGTGCAAGGAGCACCTCTCACGTCTGGACACTCATGTTGATATGAACATGTAGCTCACACACACACACACACGCACGCGCACACACGCACGCACACACACACGCACGCACGCACGCATCCACGCACACAACAGAGCCGGCCTCCAGTACACGACACCCTCTGTATTTCCTACTATCCGACCCCTTGCCTTCTCCTAAAGCTCTGTGGAGCCACAAGGACAGGATGGGGGTGGAACGAGCCCGACACACTTCCTGCAGACGCCCTTCGGCAGGGCCCCCCGCCCCGAGGCGCTCACCCGATGTACTGCAGGGGGTGGCTCTGGTGGATGACGATCCTGCATGTGGGGCAGGTGTTGTTCTCCTCCAGGTACTTCACCAGGCAGCTGCGGCAGACTGCGGGGGGGGCGCGCGTCAGTGGCAGTCAGGGGTGCTCCTCCCACTGGCCCCCCACCCCAGGCCCCCAGGGACAGGCCCATTGCCTGGGCCCACCTCCCACGGAGGACACAGACTGGAGGAGGAAGGCGCCCTCACGCCCATCACAGGGCGCCCGCCACAGCAGTAAACAGGTAAATTTCTACCTCAGCCTAAGAAAGCACCAGAACTTCTCTGCACGACCAAATGGGATAAGATTCAGTGAATGTACCATAAAATACTGCCAACCAATATCTAAAATACAATTACCTTTAAAATAAAATTTCTATCAAAACTGGCAAGCATCTTCTAAAGTGAGAAATACAAGATCAAAGATCCTTACTGTCAAAGGATTCATTTAACCTTAGGAAGTGCCCGGGTTAGCACCCCAGGATCCAGCCTGCTGGTGAAGGCTGGGGGGGGGCTGCGGTGCTTGAAGGAGGAGGACACCCACGTTCAGCACCAGCTGCAAGCTAAAGCCTGCAACAGACCAGCGGCCGTGGTGGGCAGGGAGCACAAAGTTTAAGGAATTCATTTGCAAGTGGCAATAACACTTCGGGCCACTACAAACCAATATTCTGTCACATCACATGTAATGCTTCAGCTGTTACATACAAATAACTAAGCTTTTCTTGCATTTATTTAGCTTTCTCAAATGATACCTCTTATACTGAAATTACCCCTAGTGTTTTAACTTCAGATAACTTTTCTCATTTATCTTAAGGATCTCCTTTATTTCTGCTGCTGGGTCTTGCTCTGTGCTTGAGTAAACGCTCTGGGGAAAAAAAGCCCAAGTGTTAGAGGATGGAACACTCTGCACGCACATGTGTGCAGACACTCAGTCACCGTGGTTGCATCGATGAGGTATCCACTACACAGGCGGCAGGTGATGTGGGCGTTTATGTCCCAGAGTTTAATCTTTCTGGTCAACATCTTTGGCTTCTGCAAGAGAAAAAAGCATATTAACCAAAGTATGATGTAGTCTGATGTTTCATCAAAGGTTCAAGTTCAACATAAATCCGGCTCCAGTGTGGCCAGAAGGAGCTCAGCATGAGGAGGGCTGAGGCCAGGTCCTACCCCGACTCCTACCAGGTCAAGTCCCCCCATTCCCACCAGGTCAGGTCACCCCCTGCTCCCACCAGGTCCCCCCGCTCCCACCAGGTCAGGTCCCCCCGCTCCCACCAGGTCAGGTCCCCCTGCTCCCACCAGGCCAGGTCCCCCTGCTCCCACCAGGCCAGGTCTGCACCCTGCGACCCCGTTTCCACCATGAGGTAGGCAGTCGCCCCCCGTGGACCAGGTCACCCGCCCCGTGGCAGCACCAGGCTGCACACACACTGCTGCTCCTTCCAGGCCCCCCTCCTGCTCCTCCTGCTCAGAACCCACGAGGTCAGCTGGTGAGGGGTGCAAGGCAGTAGAGTTTTCTGGAGCTGCGGGAGGGGAGGCGAGGGAGTCGGCAGGCCGTGCTGGGCAGGACAGGGTCCATCTAGAGCTCTGGCTCCTCTGATAAGATGACACAGGTGAGCAGTAGGGGACCACATCCCCAGGAAGCACAGCGCACAACAGCATCCTAAGTCCAAACATCTGTCACTGTGCTCGGAGCATGGACGCGCCGCCTCTGCCCCAGAGCCGCCCTCCAGAGCCGCGACGGCTCTGACTGGCTCCCTTCCTAGACCATGGGCTCACAAGGGCAAGGTCTGTCATCATCGCCCTAATAGAAGGCTGCGCAGGAGAAACAGCCCCAAAGATGCTACATCCTCCCCAAAACCTGTGTGTCACCTCATGGAGCAAAAGGCTCCTGAGACGGGATCCCCACTGAAGTCCCCGGGTGACTGTGTCGCCACAGGGCCCTTCTGGGGCACAGGAGGCTTGGAGGAGATATGGCAGAAGCCGCCTGCAGGCTGTGAGCAGGAAGGGGCTTCCCCGAGAGGGAAGCTCTGAGACGAGCAGCGCCGCCTGCACCCAGACTGTAGCCCTGGATGCCTGGCTGGCAGCACCGGCCAGTGAGACCCTGAGACTTCACTTGGCCACCAGCTTCCGGGACACTCGCTGTGGTTTGAGCAGGAGACGCCTCTGGATGGTACACCGCACAGGGCACAAGGAACTTCCACGACCAGGATCACTGACAGCTCTGCCCAGAGGCAGAAACGCGCCGGGAGATGGAGACCAAGGCCCAGGAGGCCCGCGGCGCACTGGGCACTGAGCTGGGGAGCGAGGCCTCACCCACGGACACAGCGCACGAGGCTCCGGCTCCCGCGCAGACGTTCCCGGCTCAGCGCTGTCTGAAGACAGGCAGAGGGCAAGGGGGGGCCGGGCGGGCAGATGAGGCCGCACCAGACCCCGAGGAGGCCCTGACCCGAGACTAAACCGTCACCTTACACCAAAGCCCAGAAGCAACCATCAGGACAGACTGAGGCGCCCAGCATGGCGCGGGGCGCAGTCCCCCTGAAAACGCGAGGGCCGCTGCGCCAGCAACAACGCCCCTTGACCGTCACAGAAAGTAGGACGGGAGGCTCGCAGGCAGAGCCAGCAGGGGGTCCCCACCAGAGAGCCCTCTCCTGCGGCCCCGAGTGGTTCCGAGCTGTCAGGAGAGATGAGGGTCATTCCCACAGGGGCTCCACGGGCCCCGGGAAGCAAACCTAAGTCTGCGGGGCCAGGCTCTCAGTGTCACAGTCACCAGGTGCTGTGCGGAGCCTGCCTGACCACTCAGACCTGCTGAGGCCCGCTCCATGAAGAAGGGCCTGTGCACCCTGTGGAGCCGAAGAAATGGGAGGTAACGGAAAGGGGAGGAACCCAAGTCGTCGCCCAGCAAAGCGAAGCAAAGACGGGATGAGAACTCCACTGGATGCCAGGGCCTGGGGTGCTTCTACCACCTGTCCAACTGAGCCTAGCACCATGTGTCCCTGACTCACTGTGCACTGTTCACACGCCCGACAGGCTCACACTTGCCACCAGCCCGACAGCCAGGCCAGAACCGGCTCCAAATCACACAGACCAGGGTCAAGATCAGTGTGAACTCATCTTGAGTGGCAGCAGGCAAACAGATACAACGTGTGCATGAGTGTGGACACACCCACTCACTCTACAGATGTCTGTGCACATGAGTGTGGGCACACCCACTTTACAGATGTGTGTGCACGTGTGGACACGCCCACTCTACAGATGTGTGTGCACGAGTGTGGGCACGCCCACTCTACAGATATGTGTGCACGAGTGTGGACACGCCCACTCGCCCTCAGCTCCGCCCCCTGGGAGTGACCGCTCTGGGCAGCCCTGGGCCGAGGGTGCACACCGCCTCTGCCACAGGAGGCAGCACCGCTGGACGTGCAGCCGGCCCTGACCAGGTGAGGACCTGGCGGACCTCTGTGCTTAGAGCCGGGACAGCAACCATCACTGCTGGCGGTTAGCGGAGTAACACAGGCGCCTACGAGGCCACACGGACAGACAGGCAAGGAAGGGGCGCCCTTCCCCACCGCACGTGAGCTGGTAAACGGAAGGCAGGCTGGCAGCGAGGGTCACCACCCAAGGACAGCTGCAGGGACGCAGACTCAGGAAGCCTCGGTGGGGCTCAGCGGGGGAAGACTTCACCGAGGACGTGAAGGTACATGAAGTCTCCAAACACTCAGCATCCTTCGAGAAGGGCAGGAACCTCGGGAAGAAAGCCCTGTGTGTCACCAACAGCGTGACGGGTGATACCCGGGTAAGGACCCCACTGCAGGGGTGCCTCTTGGCATCAGGTCTGACAGGCCCCTACCAGAACCTGAGCCCCACGGGGGCCCGGCCTCCAGTTCTGCCCACGTGGCCCTCCAAGCCAGTCAGGCGTGTAACCAGCCACTCTCACAAGGGGCCAACGCCCACTGTTGCCCCACCTTGGCCAGGACCTAGGCACCCGTGGTCGCCCCAACTCAGCCATGACCCAGGGGTCCGCAGCACCGGACGGGCACCTCTGGACCACAGGCGGGCGGCGCGTGGGGCGGCCCCAGAGGTGCCACTGACGGTCAGGAGAGCAGCCTGCACAGGAAGCCTGTGCCTACCTCCTCGAGGCCGTCGTCCCTCCTGCTGCCTCTGCATCGGACGCCGCCGCCTATGGATGCACCACACTCACGCCTCGTCCGCCGTGCCCTCCGTGCTCTGGCTCCTCACTTCTGCACCTTCCTTGCGTCTCTCGCGGTGTTTCCATTTTCTAGCACAGAAATGGCACCTGCTGTTCAAGGCCACGTCACTTATGTGACGTACACAGCACCGCAGTTACGTTTCTGCTAGAAGCTGTGAAGAGCCCCACGTAGCAAACAGTAGAACGGAGTCGATTAGAAATATTATCAGAAAACTGGAATATGTGTCAGTAACTGTGCTTGAACCTGCTCTGGAGCTGTCAGAGATGAAATTTTAAAGGAGCTACAAAGCACTGACTTTTTCTATGGCTACAACAGAGTCAAAATAAGACAAAGTGTAATTCAAGGTAAGCTTAATCAACTCACACGCACTGAAAGAAGCAGCTCAAGCTCACACTGCATTACCTGTACACAGAGCCAGGTCCTCTGCTACATTTTGAAGCCTGTGGAGACACAGGGACGGGGCATCACCCACACGTGCCGTTCCACGGAGCCCGGCCCCCAGACAGGCGGCTTCGGCTGCTCAGGTCAACAGGTCTCTCCCTTTACCTGATCGGAACAACAAAAAGAAAAGCAAGCTCGGTTGACAGTAAAGCACCCACAGCAACCACGGAGACACGGGCAGGCCCCGACAGGAGCCTGGCGGCTCGAGGCCCAGGGGCTGGGGGTGGTCGGGAGGTAGGCTGGGGGCTGCCCCCCACGCCCAGGGGCCCAGAGAAGCTCCCGGGGAGGCGGTGGGCTTTGAGTGACCTGGCGGGAGGCTGGGAGAGCAGCCATGTGACTCCTGGGCTGCTTTCACAGTTCCCGCCCTGGAAGGTGTCCCCAGGGTGGCTCACCCGGGGAAGCCACACGAGGACTCCCGCAGGCTCCGCACGGGTTCTGGGCCACCGCAGGGGACAGACACGCCAACGGGCATGTGTGTGTGCAGACGGCGGCGCCAGGGCCGTGGCCAGCGAGCACAGCGCGGGGCTGGGGTGAGCGGCAGCAGAGAAGCGGGTGACCAGGCCCCTGTAGGACTTGGCCACCGTCGGGGAGACAGAGCTGAAGGGCCTGGAGCTGGAGTTATTCCCGGAGCTCTGGGGGGGGCGGGGCGCCTGCACTCAGCGTCACTTAGACGCGGCCAGCGACACAGGCACAGATGCTGCACGTGCGATCTCAGACGTCAGAGAGCAAGGGACACAGATCCCCAGGGCCAACGTTCTCGAGGAGAAGACTGACAGCAAGTGATAAACGCCACGAGCAGGCACGCCGTCCATTCAGACACTGCAGGTGACAGACAGGACAAACCGGAGCAGGGGAGGAGGTAGGGAGAGCAGGGGGTCCAGAACCCCTCCCTGAAGTCACAGCTGAGCAACATTAGAGTGTCAGGAATAACTTCGTGCCAACAGAGTTGAAAACTCCTAAGGAATTTGACAAACTGCTTGAAAACAGCTCACCAGAACTGAGGTGAATGGAAACAGAATTGAGAGTTCTAGACCCCTAAGGACGCTGAGCCAGGCGGGTTCCACCAAACCTGTGTGCTGCAGCCCGCCCCAGACAGACCCGCCCGAGCACACAGGTGGTGGTGTTCCCGACTGGGGCTGAGGCTGCACAGCACAGGCCAGGGGGACCCGGGGGACACAGACCACCGACAGCCGCAGCACCGCCTGCAGAGCGCACAAGCGGGGCTCTGTGTAGGAAATGAATGTCGTTTATGACAAAATCTAAAAGGAGAGAGATGCTAAGATCTCCCCAGAGACATACACTCTCAGCAAGTTAAGAGCAGAAAGAACTTCTCCACCTGAACAAAGCTCTCCATCTAAGAGACACTGACACTTCTATCCA